ATTTCTATCTGTCCCCTACAACTTATACAAAGGCTTTTGATAAAGTACATTGACTGCAACTTCATTGAACAGATTGATGAATAGGTAGAAGGACTACTTCTAATGAAGACAACCATCGTTTTTATTCAGCAAAACGTGCAGCAGAGATCGACGTGATGATTGATCTCACACCATATTTACTTTACAGGGTTATATTACTCAAAACACCATAACCTCAAGATAACTGCCTAACTCTGCCTAACTCTGCCTAAGACTTAACACCAGCAGTTCCTTGCACTGGTGCTTTCCGGTAATAGGGTATCAGGTGAGGATGCGGATGAGGATGCATCTAGTTCTCAGCGGAGGGCATTCACAAAAGCCAATAATGTCGCAACATCCCTCTTCTCTGATGGATACTTGATGGGCTTTGATGCGTGCTTGGGGTAAAACAATATTGTTGGAAAGCTCCCTAACTGCAGCTCTTGTTGTGCATATGTCTTATGTTCCCCATCAGCCCTGAACTTACCCACCTTCACTCCTGTCCCTGCTAGATTCTCTGCTAACTCAATATATGATCCTTCCATTGCCTGCAAATATTTCCGGGGAATAAGAAAAATTCAAGTGAGACACAGTTGAAAACTCAGCATATTTTGTGCAATCCACACACTATATATGCATGGCAATATCACAAGTAGTATTTACCTGGCAGAATCGGCACCAAGGTGCATAAAGCACAACAAGCCAAGGTTCACTTCGGTTTTCCAATCTAGTCAGGTTCTCTATCCCAGTCCTGCTCAAGGAAACCAAGGTCTTGCTGTTAAAGATATCTGGGACATTTGCACTCCCATTTGTTGCTGAAATCTCATTTCCATTGCCATTGAGGTGTAGCGCCTCTTCTTTTTTAATGTTTCCTTTATGGAGGCCGCACTCCTTCGCCTCAGCATCCTCCCACCACCATCTTCCTTCCCTTTCATGCTGCCCTGGTAGAACTGGCCTTGTGCATGGCTCACATCCAATTGAAACGTAACCTTGTGAGTGCAAAGGATTGACAGGAACGTTCATGACTTGGAGGAAGTTCCATATGTCAGGGCCTTCTACGTTGGCAACAGGATTCCATTTGACCAAGCTGCCAATTCCACCATCGATTCCTTCAAATGATGGGTCCAGCTGGACAACTGGAATCTCAGCCCTTGTGCCAGGAGACTGATCTTTTCTCTGCCCAGTGATCCAGGCACGGAGACCCTTAAGGGCCCGCCTTAAAGGCCTAACCTTCCTTACTCTGCAGCACTCCTGGTGGCCATCTTCATAGAATGAGAATAATCCTTTGCCTCGCACCAGTCCTTGAACTTCAACAGCATCAGGGAACATGTATTCAATGTGAATGCCATAGTGCTTCCCAACGGTTTCAAAAAACTGGTACGTCTCTGGATTTAGCCTCCCAGTATCCAGGCTAAATACCCTGAAGGGCCGACCAGTTA